TCGAATGTTGAAAAGTAGTCAGCCACCTTAAGTCCAAATGTCAAAGCATTCAACCGTTTTTGTCAAATCTTGATGTCTCCTAGTAAAATAGACTTGCTATAAGTTTATTGGAATTTAGAAATCCTTTTCTTGTTCTTCTCGCATTTAGGTTGTTCTGGGCCTCTTGGAATGCAGGATGGGACGATACAAGACAATCAGATATCGGCCTCGTCGAGATTACACAGCAAGTGTGATCCCTCTAACGCGCGTCTTTACAAAACCCARGGTTCTGCTTTGGACGGGGGGTGGTGTGCGTCACAAAGTAAAATTGGCGAGTACTTGCAGATAGACTTGGGGACAATGAAATGGGTGACAAAGATCGCCACACAAGGGAGAAACATACCAAGTTTTACTCATTGGGTGAAGGAGTACACTTTGTCCTTCACAAACAATACCATCACTTGGCAAGACTACAGAGGGGATGAAAACTGCGCGAAGGTAAGAGCAAAGACATTTTAAAACTACGTAATTGTTTAGTTGCGCGCTCAACATGGTGCCTGTCACCTCTGTAATCGCAGTTCCAATTAATGCCGGCAAAAGTGTGGCTTGTGTTAAGACATCATGGTTTTCTGTCCCGACGTCACTTCCTGCGTGATCGACTTAATATTAGACGTTCCGAGGTTGAAGAAAAAACTGGGTCGAGTTGGCATTGCAGTGCATTGTGGGGCTGTTCTAGGGAACATATTTCTAACATGGCAGCTATTTCCTCCACCAAAACAGCCCCAAAATGCACTGCTATGCAATCTCGAGCCAATTTTTCCCCAACTTCGGAGTGGCTTTGTTTTACTCTTCTCGTTTATAGTATCTATAACTTAACAAAATATTGTGACGAAATTGGGTAAAATATATATATGAGCATATGTTTAGCGTAGTACGCTGTTAAATCAGAAAATATCCCATTAAACGTTTTAATTTTCCCTCATATTTTTATTTTTCACAGCGCTTCATTGGTAATACTGACATAAACACAGTTGTGACGCACGAACTTCCAGTGCCCGTCAAGACACGATACGTTAGATTTCTACCACAGGCGTGGATGAAACGCATAGCGATGAGGGTTGAACTGTATGGATGTACATCTGTATGAAACCACATGCACAGCAATGAGTACCAACAGACTGACGGTACCCATCAAGACACGATACATTAGATGGAGATCAGGACACATATCGATGAGGATGG